TTCCAACAACGATAACTTTTTTTTAACGCAAGTATTTGGCCTTAACCAATTAGCTGTATACCTACTTCTCTGTCTGCTAGTCATTTTTTGTGATTTTTTTTAAAAGAGGAGAAAGCAAACAAATATATATATTTTTGAATCATCAAGCAATACCAAACTCTTTGAGATATGCATGTTAGCAAATCCAAACAATGTAAACATAGCATACAGAAACATGATTTGTCAATATATAATATATCTCAGACTACTGATAAACCAGAAATCTCCTGGTAGCATATTCATATTCATATTTCTGCTTATGTTTTCACTTGAAATACAACACATCCTTCACACTTGATCTTCTGTGTATGAACAGTTTGGATCAGGTGCTTCAGAAGCTCAGCCTTACCGAGAATGATCGATGAAAATGTTTCCACGTGAACCCACGCACACGTCCATCCCTCCTCTATGCAATGCATGCACACACGCACACCTCCACACACACAAAGCTTGATTTTGAAGGGTCCTTAATCACAACCGAGAAACTGACTGATCAATGACAGATACGAGGGGCTACTGTGCAAATGCTAACAGGAGCTCATTTGCTTTTAAAAATGTATTTATTCTGGTCTATTTTTATCACAGATTATATTTCTTTCGTGTGCTAACGGGCTCCGAGCCCCGCCAAGGTATTAATTAAAATCTAAATACTAAATACTAAATATTGATTGATACGTTATCAGGGCATAGCAGTTGGTCCGCAGGCTATTGATCCAGTCTGTGATTTATTATCATATTTAAGAAAAATCATTTTGCGTGATTACACGAGGTAATGGATTTTTAGCAAGGATGTAATTCTCCCCCCCTTTTATTTTCGTATCGCGTTTGTTATGTGGAAGGTGGCGCAGACTTCTCAGTTGCATTCGGAGATCGCTGATATCCTAGGTACTGCACCCCCATCCCCCTCTCCCGAGCTTCCCTTTCAGCCCAGCCTGGCCTGCGAGAGACTAAAGCTTGTGTAAGAGAACGATCCCCCCGCTCTTGTCATTGGGAATAATGGGTATTGGGATTACCTCTTTAATCACAACAAAGATTAACAGATGGTATGAGAACAGTTATTAGCAAACATCTTGCACTCATCAAATCAATAAGATGATTTGTAATCAGGCTGTCGGTGCGAGTGAAAAGGGAGCCGGGGCCGTTCCCAGTGAAAGTTCCTGGCAATCAGAGGCTACTGTGTAGCAATTACCTCTCCACAAAATAGGTGCTCTTCCTCCTCTGGCTGGCAGTCCTCCAAAACACACGCCAGACTGATAGCAACATAGGGCATTAACACGGCAAAACACAAAACACTGCATGGGTAACCTTGTATTTGATCAGGTGTTAGGTTGCTGCGCGATTTCATTTCACTTTGTGCCTTTTAATTTGGTGGATCTCGCCTTGTACTTGAAGAGGGAGAAAAAAAAATCTAAATGTTTACACATGCTGTCTGTCACTACAAAAGACCGTATAGCTCATTAGCGGGTTGCCATAAATAAGTCAGCGTTGGGGACAAATAAGTGAATACTATAGAAACTATACAGAGAAGGGTTCCCTGTGCAAATATTTCTCCCTGGAGACAGAAAGAGAAAGACTGAGGGTTTGTTGACATAACGGTGCATCCAGAATGGTAAACTGAGGAATCTTCCCCACAAGATGCAACTCCTTTACAGCAGTAATGTTCTAACAGCACTTTGCTTTTTTTTAATGTCTCTGGGACGTGCGGGTGTTGAAGTCTGATATCACTGAGACAAACGCTGCGTCATATTTACTTCCAATTTATTCTACTTCTTAAGTTGAAAACAGTCTGTGAAACACATTTGTGCACAAATGCGCATCTATTTAGATACCAGTACTTAAAAGGAAAAAGTCAGGAATTGTTGGGTTTTTTTTGCAAAAAGTGGCAACACGGGATCTCTTCAGCTTTACTTGGATGGATATCGTTTTGATTCTAAATGCTGCTTTTAATGCTTGCAGGCTGTTTTGATTCTAAATGCTGCTTTTAATGCTTGCAGGCTGTTTGCAAGCAATGTCACCTTGTATGCATCTTTGTAGTGGGAACAGCTGAAACAAACTGATGCAACACTGTGGACTGAATGAAGGCAGTCACTTTGGGAGTAAAATACAGAAACACACTTGTGAGAATGTCGAAAATCAGAGGCACAGTGTAAAAATGAGTGCGTTTAAGTTTTATCTCTCTCCACAAATTTGTAAAGATATTGACACACACACACACACAAACTTCTAATCGCAAACTACTCATAATGACACAAAATCTCTCAGCGTCCCACACCGACACACACACACACTCACAGACACATACCTCTGCACTGTAAGATAGCACAGATATGTGACAGGATTAAGCAAGGCAAATGGTGCCAAAACAATGGCAGTATGAAGTAACTGATGCTGTTTAAAAATTTAGATGCCTGTATTGAACAGAGAATGTGGCACACACATCACTGGACCACAGATCCCTGCAGCCCAATGGTCTGGTTTCTGGCTGCTCACATGCATATGGATAATCTCTTTCTAAACAACCCCACAGTCGCATCACGACCGCTACACCGCTGCGCAGACACACTCGGTAGAAAAGCTCACGCTGCACTTGTAAACCTGAAATGGCTTTCAAGTTCAGTGAAAATCATTTTGCCACTATGATATGCGATAAAGCACAGGGAAGCATATTTGTATACTTAAATAGAAACTTACAATTGCACAGTAACTGCAGACAGACACACAGCCCCTCCCCTCGCCCACAGTCACTTGTCGAGTGGCTAATATCTTTCCAAGGTCAAACCTGACAAGGAATTCCAATGAGATTAAGTGTCATCAGTGCGGCTTTAGCCCTTTTCTGCTCATTGTTCTTGGAAATGGCATTAGAGCCACAGATGACCAAGGCCTTGGAGCAGTAAAACCTCTTCCCTTCCTGAGTGGTGGGCCTGGTTGATACAGGAGATATTTGACACAAGGCCTCCAATTCAAACATCAAAGTGCAATAATGTTCTCACGTGTATCTTTATCGAGGAAGCTTACACCAATATAAACCGATCTACGAGCACTGCAGTTTTATCACACGTGGACAGTGTTATTATTTCTGCATGCTGCAGAATTTTATTCAACTTTTTCTCATGTTAATTCTTAATTTTGAATTTTCAAAAGATCCATAGGTTACAGACTCTGAGTCTGTGACTCCTTTTTATTTCAGACCTTGTAAGAGCTGCAGTGGCAAGCCAGCGTCAGTGTTTTTGGCATTCATTTAGGTGTTTTGGGGGCTATAAAGCAATAACAGAAATGTTGCTGCACTCTATATGCAGCAAATGTGCTTTCACACTTAATTTGTTCTGATGACTTGCATGCATATCTCCACACTTTTTCATTCACATGAGGAAGTGGCTCAGTCCAGGAGATAATCCCAGCGTGTTTGTTTGTACACACTTCGAGCAAAGCGACAGCTTATGCCAGTGTGTCAAACAGCATTTTCACATCAAATTTGACACATAGTCCTTTGGCGGCAGCAATGAGCATTTTGTCATCTCCTCTCAAGTGCCAACTCGACGTCCAATTGCGGCCCAGCTACTAATTTAATTACAGTAGCAGAAGAAATGGGCTGATTCAATTCATTTCAATTAAACCTGATGGGACCAGTCAAATCAAATTTTACTCATCTCAGGTACAAGCTGCCTGTCACATTTTATCTCAGCTTGGCTCAAATGAAGCACGATGAGCAGGTCCTGATGATAACTGGAAATATATGGTTGGGTTCTATCAAGCAGACTCATGTGCCGCCTGATCTCTGATTGTGCGATCAGTGTGAGAGCACAACACTCAATTTTCAGAGCAGGATCACAGACAGTTACCACTTAGTTAGAGTCCCAGCTACAACAGCCATTACTTATGCATGATGTCCACAATTATGTATCAAATTGTGTGCAAGTATGTGTGCGTTTAGATATCCAACAAAAAGATGTGTAGCACATAGCAAAAACTATGCAGTGTCTGCTAAAGCTGCACATGAAGTGACTTTCTCTGAACCGCCCCTCAACAAAACTTAATTAAAAAAGAACATACAAACAGTTCTGCATGCCGCAATAAACTTTAGAACACAACTTGTGCTCCTATTTTTTTCATTTTAAAATAATTAAATTTTAAATGCAAATTCCAAAGTATTAAGACATACAGTAGTATAAGGATAAAGGCTGGTGGGGGATAACAATGTGTTTACTTTATACATTTACAAGTATATATGCAGAAATTAGCTCTAGGACACAAGATTATTAAAACCTCTATAGTGACCATGCTCCAATAATTACAATCATCATAATGATGCTGTATATGTGTAGTATTATTATACTTCAAATACGCTAAATTCTACTATTAATAATGCATTTGTCAAAACGTAATAATTGTATTTATTAGCTCTAAGACTGGGGAAAAAAATCATTGCTAAATTGTAAATTATTCGTGGACTAATTACAAGGAATAAAGTACAAGTTTAGCAACAGACAGAATGTAAGTATAGATTGCTTCAAAAGCGTACGCAGACAATGAAACAACATAAATATTGTTTGGGTTTGCCTTCAGAGACGCTGTAATTGGGCTCATTCAGTGGCAGAAAAAGTTCCATCTCATCTCTGATTGGTGCAGATGAAGCCCTGGGATTATGCCATAGGCTGCTATAGGCTGCTACAGTAGCCTGCGGTGTGTGTAAATGCGTCTTGGCACCAGTTGCGGCGGCGCAAAGACGTCTGATTGGACACCGACGCAACGCACGCATGTTTTTTTTTTCATACTGCGCCACTTTAGCGGTCTAATCACATGCTTTACAACCTGAGCCACACATATAAAAATTCAATTTCTTAGATCCTTCTATTTAAAGATATGTAACGGATAACTGTAAAGCTATTATTATACAGTGATGCACAGCGGCCAAAGCGAAGCAGTAAATTCAAACTCTGGGAGTCTTTTTTTTTTTTTTTTACCTCTCTGGTGTCTTCTTCACGCTCCGGCCTCCCTCCACGATATCCGCAGTGAAAGGCAGACAGGCTCACAGCGGACTGCGGGGTGTAAGAATAGAGGAGAGGAGTTGTTACCGAAGTCTGCCTGTGCACTTTGTGATGCAGCGAGGGCCAGCGTGGAAGCCCAAGCAGCCCTTTTCTCACCTTGCGACACAGATCCAGAGGGGGTGAAACGGGTAAAAACGGTTGTTTGGGTGATTACACGTTTCTGCTCTCCCTCCTCTCCCACCCTCCTCCGCCACCATGCCCTCCTCATCTTCCTCAACCTCCTCGCCCTCCCCCCCCCCTCGCCCTCCTCATCTTCCTCAGCCTCCTCACCCTCCTCCTCCTCCTCTTCCACCAGCAGCACCAGCAGCACTCTCACTCCTCTCTCGGAGAATAGAGAGAGTGGCCCCCGTTGTAATAGCCTCGGTGGGGCTCCAGCTCTGCAGCGAAGCAGCCTCTAAGGTTAAAGGATACCTCTGAGGCGCATCCGGCATCCGCAGTGCCATGAAACAAAAAAGTGCTTTTTTTTAATAAAAAAAAAAACGTATTTATGTATTTATTTGCTCGTCCACTGCAGTAAATTGGAGAACAATAATATTTGACTTGGTAATTTATTTATTTTTGAAGTCAGATCAAACTATATAAAATCACAGGGGCTCTTAGGGTTACGTAAAGCTTAGTGGAAATCAAACTTTTCAAGCGACGTGAATTCCAAAGCTGTTCGGCAGCCCGGTCTGGACACCCCCTCTCTTTCCCTCTCTCTCTATAAGTGTGTGCGGTGTGTGTATGTGTAGTCTATACCGGATTAAATGGCACCGCGTCTTAAATGGCACCTTGCCTCGTTTCCCCTCTCCTTTCATCATCAGCAAAATAAAGATTAGGCCTACAGAGGAGATTGTAACGGCTCGCCTTTAGACGCGCGGGGGATCTTCATTCCTCCGCCTTTGTGATGATATTGATGATGATGATGGCCAAGTGGACAGTTTGATTTTTGTGTGGCGAGCTAGTTATAAAGAATCAATATTATATCAAGGGGGTAACTTTGGTGATAAAGGACTTCAGCCACTCTGGCTATTCATCATAAGTCTGTAGCAAGCAGATAGGTCAAAAGAAATTATATTGCTCTAAAGAGTGTGTCTCCTTATCTCTCAGTACCAGGGGAGTGGAGGACACGCCGATCGATACAGTAGCTGCCGTATACTCCTTGCAATTATCAATAGCTGATTTTGTCTTCCTGGGGCTGCATCTATTAATACCAGATAATAACAGCCTTTTGGACATAACTTCAAAGGGGATGATGGAAAGAGATGGAGAGGAAGAAGAAAAGGGGGGGGGGCACCGAAAGTTTGCTCACAGGACGACCTTGTTGTCAACAGATTTGTCTCTCATATGAGGTGGACGCGGGGGAATAGACAAGTCAAACAGACAAGAGGGAGGGCGAGGGAGGGGGGAGAGCGGGGAAGCTCTAACTGAGCTCACCCATGAACTGAAAAAAGCTGAAGATCTATCATTACAGTAAAAAGGTTTCTAATTTAGTCAGGAATTGGCAGCATTTGTGCGCCTGAAGTCGGAAACAAGCGCGATTATGATGTGCCCATTTTCCACATCCACTTTTAACGATGCAATATGAAAATGCATTTTCCTTAAGTTAGCAATACGGAAATAAACATGAAACCGTTACTTCTGTTAAATAAATAAAACGCAGTGTTCGCATGGCACTCAAGCACGAGCTTATTTGGTTCCTTTCTCCCCACCGTGCATGCGTACATTTTAGTGCAAAATTATAATTAATTTCTGTATTTATTTTAACTGTGTGTTGAGGGAAAGAGGTTTTAATTATATGCTGTATGATGTGTACTCTGACACACTTTACTTATTCATATTCATATTATTATTATTGTGTTGTTTTGCAATAATTCCCCAATATTAGTGTCGGTACATAAATCAAAAAGCAGCCCACATGTTCAAAAACCGCCACCGTGCGTAAAATGTCCACATTCCAGAATCAAAGTTAGAATAAAGCCGGGGTGTTGTGATTGAAAGCCTACCGTGTAATCAGAAAATCGCCGATGTCACGAAATAAAAATACTCTGCCGCATTAATATGATGACCCAGCCTTCTGGCGGATACGGGCGGTGACGGGTGAGATATTATATGATGGGAGGTCAAATCTGGGTGTTCACACAGAAGTCTGAGGACGATCCATTGAACAGTAACGTGGTGGTACATCCTAGTGGTGGCTGAAAGCAATGGGCTGAACCCCTGCTTGGGGGTTGACTCTCACACACAGCGCAGTCCCCCACACACAGAGCCATGCCCAACAGCGACAGACCGACCGACGCTGCTAGAGGGCTGCCAGAAGATAACTTCAAAGTTGGTTTCGATATGAGCCCGAGAGCCGAGCGAAGGAAAGACATCGAGTAAAGCTTTAGTTTTTTTTTTCTTTTTGTTTGTTTGTTTTGTTTTGGTTTGGATTTTTTCGGAAATCAAGTGGTGCTTAGGGCTTTTTTGATCAGCAAATATCCAGAAAAGACGCTTTTGGAGAGCGCACCGAGCCGAGGGCGCATACACGGCGAGAGGAGGTACACGGGAGGAACTTCGTCGCGGTCAGACACGCACCGAAGCGACTTCTCTTTGTCGGACACACGAGTGTTTGATCACACAGACGTTCTTGTTGTTACTGAGAGGAGCACTGTTGCTAATCTTGGCGCCGCTCTCTCGGAAGACGCGCGTCAAAGTTTGGAGAGCGGAACTGCGCCTTTAGAAAAGCAAAAGCTGGTGGCAGTTTATCGCTCTATTGCAAATAACTTAACTCGTCCCGTCCACTTCTCCTTGCTGCCGGTGCCCGTGTAGCAACTCAAACAGCGGCTGCTTCACTGGGAAGATGTCCACCGACAGAAATCTGACACATCTCGACTTTAGACGTCGCTTCCTTTGAGTCCGATTCAAGGAGTTGCGTGTTCACCTCGCCACACGCACAGAACAAGAAAAATAAATAAATAAAAGAAGTTAGAGAGAGAGGCGCTGCGAGAACTGAGCCAGTATCTCGGGACAGACTTAACGAGAAAACGTTTTCTGAAGTTTTGCGGTAAACGATGGATCGTTGAGGCCAGGGAGAGACACTTCGTCAAAGAAAAGAAAGAAAAAAGAAGAAAGCGCTGGTGAATCCTTAGCACTTGTGAGTCAGTGCGCTTACTCAAAGGAGTAGGGGGCAAAGGAGCCCGGCGTTCCCCTCGTTGGAGACCCCATGTGAACTGGGTATAACAAGAGATTTTGGTGTGTTGTGTTGTTTTGTGTTGTTGGGGAGGTGGAGGTTGGATAGTAAAGACAAAAGAGACGGATAAAGTCTGAGAGTGAAGCGGCTAATTGCTTAGTCCGTCCCTCATTACCATATCCAATGCGCGTCCATTGGCCTCCAGCCAATCCTCCCCACCTTCACACACTGCCATTAATCGCGAGGCATTATTCACTATCATAATTATTATACCGACATGCGCAATCCAACGCACAGCAACAGCAGCGGCAGCAGCAACACCGGCTAATTTCAGATTTATATTTTTTCTCTCCTCCTCTCTCTCTCCGCCACCAGACTGTTTGCGAACTTTTTGTGTGTTGATTCGCTCTTCGCTGATGTATCTGCAAAACGCAGACACATCTCGGAGCGCAAACGCAGCAGCATCGCCACCACTAAAGCCAGCAGCATGTCCCGACGCAAGCAAGCCAAACCGCAGCACCTCAAGTCGGACGAGGATCCCGCACTAGCCGGGGTGATTTCCGAGCACGGTGAGTGGATTTGATCAGCTGAAGTTCCTTTAGCCTGATCTGCTTTCAGAGCTTCCCCTCGCAGCTCTGCTCTTCAATTTATGTTTGTTTCTTTACTTTGTTTGACAAACGTTTTAACACATTCTTTTCAATTAAATAGGTTTAAAGTCATTTGGATTATTATCATCATTATTATTATAATTTTGTTTTTTTGTAGTGGGGATACTGGATTTATTTCATAGGCATAGGCGGAATCATTTGCAATAAATCAAAAAACGATGCGAATATTAAGTCAAAAGTGTCACCTTAGTCGAAGAAGAAGTCTGACGATTTAAAAGTTTTGTGTCTGTTTTGTCCCCCCTCCCTCCCTCCCCCAAAAAACTGTTAAACCTGCATCATATGATCGTCTTTTGTCAGGCAGGTTAATTTTAATAATAGTTAAGAGTTTACATTTTGGTTACAGCGTCTACATTAGGTGCCGGAGGCCCATTTTAAAGGCCTGTTTAAAAAACAAAAATCTCGGAGCTCTGTACACTGCAAAATAGTGTATTTCAACACTTTTGCAGTTGGTTTCTGACGTGCACGCGCACGCGCCGAAATGCAAGCACAACTGTAACAAACACACGAAAGAAGTTGGAAAATTATTTGGCTTTTTTTTCTCTCAGAGGTTTAGAATTATTTATTCCGCAGATGTGAAAGCAATGGGTCGTAATAGTTTTTTTTTTAAAAAAACACTTCATTTAAAAAGCCGTTTAATTTATACGTTTCTATTTTTTATTTTTTATCTTGGTTTTTTTTTTTTTTTTTTTTGCATGTGTGTCTCTTGTCCCTGAGCGCCTGCGGAATCTGTTGCAGGTCGAAGACTTGTTTTGTTATGGAAATGCTTTTTGTTTACCCCCACCTCCCCACCCCACATTAATTTAGCACACTTGATTTGTTCCTTTTTGCGCACAGTATCGACAAGATCGGTTGACAAAGCTCGTCTTCGCCATGTGGGGGGAAAAAAGGATTATTTGTCTTTTATACTGCGCTTTTGCGCAGTAACACTATCATTATAGGGCTAAAGTCAGGTCCGAAGGCAGATGAAGTGCTGCAGGAATAATATGACTGGATTTCTATAAAACAAAAAAACGTACAGAGCACAAGTCCCACATTATTTGGCAGATTATTATTGAAATTGTGGCAAATCTAACATTTAAAAAAATCATTTTATGTATTGGAAATATGAGGATAAGACAAAATATGTCAATTTACTGCAGCATATCTTAACAACAATACTGTAATTTACTTGAAAACTTAAAAAAAATCACAATTTGTCAATTTCATTTCTCTTATTTAAACTTAGAAAGCTGTGTGTGTGTGTGCGTGTTTATGTTTGTGTGTGTTTTGGGTATCAGTGAAGCTCAGAGCTCTCAACAAATCACTGCTATTATTTATACCTTTCTATCTTGGCCCATGTTGGTCAACACTCACACCCAGACGCAGACACCCACACATGCACACACACACTTACACGCGAACACGCACACACACATTTTCCAGGGTTTCTTTAGAATAGAAATGTGTGATGTAATCTCTGGGGAGAAGCTCTCTTTGCATGGGGAAATGCTGGTGTGAGGGGTGGGTGGGTGGGGGATCACACTGATGATTCCCGACTCTTTTGTTCAGTTTACTCTTTGGATCTCTCCTTTTTTAAAAATATAATTTCTGACTAATTGACAAACACAGACACTTTTCCTGATTCGGTGTTTCAGATGACCCTGCTCAGATTCTGTACAGAGATAATCATCCATCAGGTTGCACTCCTGTAGGATTGTGGATTGAAAATCAAACTTGTTTTTGCTCCTGTCAAATCTCACGTTTGGATGATTTCGAGGTTAGGTTACAAATATTTGATTTGAAATGTTGATTGCAATTTATAAAACAGAAAACAGTCAGATCCACAGAGAGAGGGAAAAAAGAAGAGAGGAATTTAAAAAGAAAAAAAATCTCTACACACTTATTCTGAATTTTATTCCACAGATTAACACACACCTCCTGGCATAATTAAAATACACACAGACTCAGACAGCGTTATCGGTAACATACTGTATGCTGTCAGTGCCATTGTGCTCGAGACTGGAAGTGTCCGTGGAATGTTCTTTCCTTGCTGAAGCAACTATACTGGCTCGCTTGTTTTCAGGAAAGACGTAGCAGTGAAACAATCTCAAGCCTTTGGCAGAGCACAGTGAGCCCATACATACTTAAATAAACCTAATAATACCATGCCTCAACCAACACTACCTTACATGATGAGCTACGAATGTCACCCTGTCAGTGTGTCGTTGCAGCATGATCGGATTCTCCGCTCTCTGTTGCTGTGTGGTGCAGCTTGCGACGAATACTATCGATTGTTGGCCTTGACATAACCACCGCGTATTAACGTCGACGGGATTCAAAAGTTCCAGTCGTCAGCCGCTGCTCGACTGAGACTTAAAATCCATTTTTGCTCAGCTTAGTGCTGAAGAGAACGTCAAGAAGAATGTGGTGTTCAAATTGTGCTCAGGGATCTTCACCATTTCTTACAAATAAGAAAACAAGGAAAGAATCAGCCAAATCGAACCCTGTGCCTGCAAAGCTTCAGCTTACACCTTCATTTTCCCTAAATATTCCCAATATTATTTTGTCTCCTTTGTATGTGGCATTTATGACTGCTGTCCCTCTGCAGCTTACTGAGTACTCTTTAATGTGCCGCATCCATGAAAACATGAAAAACTAAAATCAAGTGCCAACAAGCCCTTGTCTGGCATATCATGTCCCCTCAGGCTTTCCGGACACTTTCCTCCTGGGGGCATGGGAGGGTTTTTGTGTGTGTGTGTGTGTGTGTGTGTGTTTGTGTGTGTGTGTGTGTGTGCTAGGATGGGGAAAGGGAAGAGGAGGGGGTGGTCTGCTTAGAAGTGCTTTTATAAAGCTTGCTGTCTTAACCTTTGTGTAGCTCCGGGCAGCCAGATCCTGCCGCTAGATGTCAAGCTCCTTGTACAATTAGAACATGTGTGCCGTTGACCTTGGCAGCGCAGTTTCCTCGTGTCCTAGAAAGCGTTAGCAGCAGCAGGCTTTTCACCACGCCACCGCTTTCTCGGCATCCAGTGTCGTTCAAGGTGTGAATGTGCAGGAGGAGCAATGGTGGCCAAACTCTGCGCTGTCACACAAAGATTTAGAAGAATTTTCAAAGGTAAATTTCCTCAGTTGTCAGTGGACATGCACAGCATCGTTCAAGCAAGAAAGGCAGATTTCTTTTTCTAAAATTATTACTCTGGAAAAACATGAGACACTTGAGGAACAGGTAACAACAAGGCTCAGGTCACAGTCGCAATTATTTGAAGTCAAAATCTTCTCAGAGTTCATTCTGGGCTGAGCCCTTTTCCTTTCTTTTCATCATAGCAGCAGAGGCACGGGCGTGTATGGTTATGAATCCAAAAAAATTTAATAAAGTGAGAAAATCCCTGCTGGTAGTGACAACATGGTTGTTACCACTTCCCCTGCAGCGCGGCTTTGTTTGCCTTTTGTTTTAATCCACTCTCACCATTGGGTGCAGGCCTGTGGACCACCCACATAGTTGTGCCAAAGATGTCTTCAAGAAGGCACTCAAATATGGCTGTGTCTTAATTACCACTCAGCACACGAACAAGTGAGATCCTGATTGAGAGGAAGGACTAGACAGGGAAGGGAAGAACTATTTAATGTTAGACAAGACAGCAGATTTGGAGGATTTAGGTAAAAAGCTAACATGTAGTCAGCAGAAGGGGTAAATTTCTCCTTTAAATGGTTTGGTTTCGATGGTTTGGTTTTGGCTTATTCAGATGATTTTAAACACCAGTTTGTCCAGAAAGTGGGGACGCAGAGGAGCAATGTGTGAGCGAAGATGTGCAGCTCTGCCTTCTGTGTAAAACAGGAAACATATAGCTTATAGCTTTGATTTAAACAAACCCCAAGCAAAGATTAATAAAAAATCTCCTTTGACGTTAGAGAACGAGAGCGCCTCGTCTCGGACTCTTTTTGTAAATCCGGAGGCAGAGAGGCATCTTGGCGAGTGTCATCTGGACAGAGTGTCGTCATTGAATACTGTATTGCAAATGCTTACACAAACAAATCGTTAATGTTTTGGCTGCTCCACATCTGCAGGCCATGACAAAGGCCTCTCTGTTGGGGCAGATATGACTGTACCACTCTGCAGTAGGGCTGACCAGGCCGATGACACACACTCACAGCGCTGTGCTGAGGACGACTGAGCCTCTGCAAGTCCGAGGATGCACTGGGTCATTCGTGGATATGCTTCATGGGTACAGCAGGACAGCATAATTATTTAGATTTCCTTTTTTTATTGAATCTTGATTATTATTATTTTTTAAATCATGCAAACATGCAGTTAATCTTAACTTTGCTAGGACGCTTAACCAGTATGCTAAAGAGTCATTCTTTTAAACAAAAATGAACTAACTACAAATGTTCAGAATTTAAGTGACATTTGTCTTCTTCCGGTGCAGATTATGTCCCAGTTAGAACGAAGCAGAGTGCACGCTGTGTCTCAGTTAAAATGTCTCGTCAAACAACTTAAAATAACTTGAAACGTCTTTATTTTTTATTTATTTATTTATTTTTTTGTACTCACGATTAGAGTTGCGGAAGTGTGTCAAAAAGTGTAATGGAAAAATTTAATCAGGCCACAAATTCCAACATTGTTGGACGCAGCAGGCCTCTTTTTTTTCTTTTTTTCCCCCCTCAACTTCCAGCTTGAGCAGGACCAACAGGGATGCATCTCTCTTTAAGGGTCCTAAGCTATCCTCACATTCTTGAGAAGAATGCATTTTAAGGGGGCAGAAGGAGGGGCCTTTTTTTAGGAAGAGCGCAATCACAGAGGCTGGTCACGATATACTGCTCTCACAGACTGCTGTTGGTGTAAATGACATGTAAGTTCTCGGGGTATGATGAAGACTTTTTAATTGCGCATTTAAATTACAATACCCTGCACTTACTGAGATTGAAATACCTTGACGTAGGGTAAATGCTCCCACTGTCATTGCTGTTTGTTTTCATTATGTGAATCTGGAAATTGTTAAGAATGGGAAAATTTGTAATTGGCCAAGGCTTCGGTGCTTCTCTCAATGCCCGGCTCTGTGACTTTCACAGAATCTGTGGTAAGCATGAATACCTCATCTGATATAATATGTCAGATTAGCAGTTTCAGTTGGCATGCCAGAGATTGCTGAGCAAGATAGCGGACACACAGATTCAATGTCTACAATCCCCCTATTGACTACCTTCAACTTAATATTCGTAAATGAAGACTCTTAAAGCAATGAAAAATGGATGGGATTTTTTTTCCGTCCCCTTCTTTTTCATACTATAGGAAAATCAATATTAGCCCCTTCCCCAACACAAACACACATAAAATCATATAGAAACACACACACGTATGCATGCATCCCTTTCCACTGTGTTGCATTGCAAACCCAAAGCAACCACAAAATGTCGCCTCTTAGCTCCACAGCACGAAAGCACTGTACAGGTTAAAGCAACACAGTTGTTTTAAGATTATGAGCTTTCCTAATGCTCGTTTGTTTGTTTGTTTGTTTGTTTGTTTTTTCCTCGGGAAGTATGACAATAATCTGCAATGCACGCAGCTGTAATTTGTGTTTCTATGATTAATGCTGACTAACTGTAGCATTAGTCAAAGTAAACCTGAAAACGGCAATTTCGTGTGTTTTCCTTGTTTTTTAGCGGCGTGCACATTTTTAAAGAGGCAGTGTATTTTATACAACTACACAGCGTTCAGATTTGAATTTTAAAAAAAGCATCGGACATAAGATTTTTTTTATTTTATAATAATAATTAGCGCTCTAAAGTTACTAAAGTTATCAGACAGGAAGGATTTCTTTTAATGGACAAAATGTAATTTATAAGAGTCTTTTCTTTCCTTTTTGGTTTTTTGTTTTTGTTTTTTTGAAAATAAGTCAATTTAGGAGCAGAGGCCTGTGTATGTGTAGAGGTGACTGGTACACTCTACTAACGGCAAAAAAGCATGCTTTTGCAGGTCTACGTGTCGTAATTTTTTTAGGTGTTTGTCCTCGTACATATGCACATAATCTGTGAATTCTCTTTGTCCGTCTTAGGAAACGTGTCAGTGTGTGTGTGTGTGTGTGTGTGTGTGTGTGTGTGTGTGTGTGTGTGTGCGCGAGAGCGAGAGGTCAGAGGCATACAAAGACCCCCACTTGTAATTGTATGAATGAATAAAAGAGATTGACAGTAATACCATTCTAATAACTAATCAGCTCAACACAATGCCTACTCATTTGTGTTGACCTTTCAACCCTCAATTATGGAAATGAGTTCTGCTGTCCGCTGCTGGGCTAAGGAGCTTTTTAGCCTGCCGTCACGTGTCGCTGACGTTTCCAGTCACTTGCTCCTTTTCACTTGTCAATTTCTGTTTTGTATTTGAGCTTAAATGACTAATTTGTTTTTCAATGGATTTTTTTTTAATACCGAGGTCTCAACGTACAATGTATGTCTTGGGATAAAACCATAAGAATTTTACATTTTCTTTTCCTTTAATTCCTTAATTGATTTTCTTTTTAACTGGCAGCACCCACGATTTAGTAAAATAATATCTTACTTTGTCAGCTCTAACCCCAATGAGGATGAGAGCACGGAGTCTGTCCAAAACTGTTCTGCTGATAATTAATTAAGTCACAGACACCAGACCACGATGGCGCATGGCCCCTTTGGCCACAAATTACAGGAGGAGTGATGAATTTCTTTCCTAATGAGTCACTGTAATTGGCAAAAATGCTTCATTTCTGTTTTGCTATGGTTTACTCCACTTTAACCTTTGAAGTTAGCACAAGCAATGTATGAATCTCGATTGCTCACTTGAAAAGCATAACGGGTCTTTTAATGATAAGGAAATGTGCACTATATGTTCCAAGGAATTTTCTGATTCTGATTTCTTTTTTTAAAATTTAGTGAACAAGCTGGTTTAGCCCACTGGGTGAGCTGCTTAGAGGAAAAAGGAAAATATACACAAGTGAAAGCAGCTAAATTCAGACATGCAACTTTTATGCTTTGGGATTTTTTTGTCATACACATACAGTAATAATTAACCTGAATTTAAGTTTTTTCTTAGTTATTAACTACTTTTAAACAATATAGGATCACTGAAGAACATAACCTTGTTTTATAGCAGCCTTTGCATGAAGTAAATCTTTTTCTATTTCCAGCAATTGCCCATGAAATTGTCTTAACATTTTAAATGTGTATACACAGTGGTTTAATTTGTGGATAAATAGTTTACCAGGTATTCGCTGGTCGTCAAATGTAAACTGAACAGGAGACGACTACGAAATAAAGTACGTGCTAGATGTCTTGTGGTGACTAAGTGTGCTTCCTACTCAGACATTTTTATTTATGCAGACATCCCCGACAGAGAGACCCGCACGCTATAACTAAGGGGGGGGGGGGGGTTAGTAAGAGGAGGCCATTTTTACATGGTTTATATCAGGTGTGAATTTGGTCCACGCTCGGAGCTCGCACGGGTTTGTTTGACTCTTGATGGTTGCATGTCAAAGAGGAAGTGGCTTCCTACAACTGTGATTAAACATGTGTAACTAATCAGTGACTTTGCTGCCATGGCACTAGCATGTAATTTGTTGAGTCTTATGTCAGAGAGCATGGCCAGTGGAGAGAGAGGAGTAACACACTGAGTGTTGCCTAACTTAAAGGGAATGTTTTCTATTTGGAACATTTTGAAAAAGAATGAAATTGTGAAAACTTTTAAATTATAGTGATTTGTTACGCACATTTTAAAAGGTCAAGATTTATGGGTTTTTTCTATTTGTAGATAGCGTACAAAAAAAGTTGAAAGTCAACAGATATCATTACTTACATATGATAATGCATTTTTGTGACAATGTGGCAAAAGTTCAGTATAGTTATTTGCTTAGATTCAGGGCTCTAACATTACCTTTGCGATGCTAAATGGAAAGCCAGGCATTTGAAATTCAAGTGGAAATGACTGAGCTTGATAGCAGAGGGGAATCCTAATAGGGCCATCAAAGGTCCTGATTTGTACCCAACAGATGAGGCAGCTGTGAATTGTATGAAATATTGGAAATCAATATGTTCTATGGAATTTCATTAAGTGGCAGTATCCACAACTGATAGGCCCTCATAATTTGATGGATTGCACAAAGAAAATTATTACCTGGCCCTATGGAGAGTGTGTGAATGCACAAATCTGGGTCTTGAGAATTGGTGAACTAGGGCAATTTGTTCAGAGTGAAAAAAAAAGAATATTGATTTTGGTTATGTTAAAAGAGAGAAAAAAATCAAAGGTTAAATCTTTGCAGCACTGCACTGGAAAATATGTGTGGATTCTTTATTGATTATTTATTCATTAATTCTTCTTTCTTCCCTCCCTCCTCCCTTTGGTTTCTTTTTGTCCCTTTTCACTCCTCTGACCCCCCTCCCTTTGCTTTTTGTAGCCCGAGGTGATGTGCTGGATGATGCCGACAGCGGGAATGAGAGCCGCAGTGGCAGTGAGGAGACCCATGTATGTGAGAAGTGTTGTGCTGAGTTCTTCAAATGGTCAGACTTCTGTGAACATTTAAAGAGCTGCACTAAGAACCCCCTGGTGCTTATAGTGAATGACAATGAGGACACACCTAACCCCTCACAGGAGTACCCTACAGAGCCCTCCCCTGTACCCAGCTGCCCTAGTGAGCAGGCTGACAGTGAGGACCCCAGGGAGGGGAGCCACAGCCCTGCTGGTGAGGGGGATGACATCCCAGAGACAGCAACCTTAAATGGGGTCAGTGTCCTGGAAAAGGAGGACGAGCAGATGGAGCTGGAGCTTTCTCCCGAAAAAAATGTGGATCCTGAAGAAAGAGATGTGACATCCCCTGAGCCAGATGGCTCCCTACCTCAGCTCAATGATGTCGTTCCCTCTGCTGTTACAAGTTACGCCATGCCAAGCACCAATGTTACCTTAGAGACTCTTCATGGCACCCGTGTTGCAGTTGCCCAGTTTTCACAGAGTGTAAGGGCAGCAGCGGGCAGTGGGGTTTCCACCATGGCTATTCCCATGATCTTGGACCAGCTGATGGCCCTCCAACAGCAGCAAATTCATCAGCTGCAGCTAATAGAACAAATTCGCAGTCAAGTGGCTCTCATGAACAGACAGTCTGCCCCACAGCCTGCTCTTAACCACCATCACAGCAACGCTACTGGAAGCCAGGGGCCCGTCTCCTCCTGTGTCCCTCCTGTTGCAAGTCAGCTTCAGCTACATAATTTTATCACTCCCCCAGTCCATCAGCTGCCTGTTAGACTGCCGGCCACTCTCAATGGTCAAGGACCTTCACCTCTGACCTCAGCAATAGAAGGGCCTCTCTCTCAAACACCACAAAGCAGCAGTCAGCAATCTAACTCTTCAGCTCTGATCACATCTTCAACTAACTCAGCTTTTCCTCCACCAAGTGGTACTGGATTGTCATCTCTACTTCCCCCCTGCTCATCCTCTGTCACAAACAACAGCATTAGCACTAGTAGTAGTATAACAGGAGGCAGTGGCATTAGCAGCAGCTCAACTCTTTCCAGGAACTCTAGCACCCCTCCTTCCCTCACTCACAGCACCCTCCTGAGCTCTTCTTCCAGTCTACCGCTGATACCTCACAGCTCTTCGAGCAGTGTTATCTTCCCTAATCCACTGGCCAGTATAGCAGCCACAGCCAATGCACTCGATCCTCTCTCTGCTCTAATGAAGCACCGCAAGGGGAAGCCCCCAAATGTGTCTGTATTTGACACTAAGCCCAGCTCTGAGGACCCCTTCTTCAAGCATAAGTGTCGGTTCTGTGCCAAGGTGTTTGGCAGTGACAGTGCCCTACAGATCCACCTGCGTTCCCACACTGGAGAAAGGCCCTACAAATGCAACATATGTGGCAACCGCTTCTCCACCAAGGGGAATCTGAAAGTCCACTTCCAGAGGCACAAAGAGAAATACCCACATATACAGATGAACCCCTACCCTGTGCCAGAGTACCTGGACAATGTTCCCACAAGCTCAGGCATCCCATATGGCATGTCATTGCCCCCAGAAAAACCTGTTACCACATGGCTAGACAGTAAGCCAGTTCTTCCCACAGTTCCCACCTCTGTTGGACTCCAGCTGCCTCCAACATTACCGAGTATGATGGGAGGATTTGGTGAGTCTCCAAGCCTCACTCCGCTCAACAGGTCTCCTCAGAGGCCATCCCCACCCTCAAGTGACTGTGCATCTTTGTCCCCAAATATCATCACTGACTCATGCATGACCACTACTTCACCATCCCCAAAACCAAGCCTAGGGTGTGAGGCACCTCCTTTACTGAAACCCGAAGGCATTCTTTTGCCCGCAAGCTGCTCTACTAGACCGGGAGAGAACACGACTAGCACAACGACCATAACTCAAGTGCTTCTTTCCACTACTGTCACCTCCACATCATCGTCCAGCAGTGGACAGGTCTCTGAACCCATCAGTAGCCCCAACTCGGCCTCTAATTCTGTCTCCCATCCTGTCCTTCCCATGCTCTCAGACCATTTTAAGGCCAAGTTTCCCTTTGGAGGCCTCTTAGACTCTATGCAAACATCAGAGACATCCAAGTTACAGCAGCTTGTTGAGAATATTGACAAGAAGATGACTGACCCCAACCAGTGTGTCATCTGTCACCGTGTTCTGAGTTGCCAGAGTGCTCTGAAGATGCACTATCGCATCCACACTGGTGAAAGGCCTTTTAAATGTAAGATATGTGGGCGGGCATTTACAACCAAGGGAAATCTGAAAACACACTTTGGTGTCCACAGGTCCAAACCTCCACTTCGGGTTCAGCACTCTTGTCCTATATGTCAAAAGAAATTCACCAATGCAGTTGTACTACAGCAGCACATCCGTATGCACATGGGTGGGCAAATTCCCAACACACCCATCCCCGAAAGCCTGCAAGAAATGGATACTGACCCCTCCTTTGATGAGAAGAGCTTAGATGCCATGAGCAATTATGATGATGACCTTCTGGATGAAATGGAGCAGGCCATAGATGATGAAGCTGATTTAAAAGAGGGAGATATGGACTCATCCAAACCTTTTTCACCTGGGAGCTCTCCACCAACTTCTGTAATCTCCAGCATTGCTGCAATGGAGAACCAGATGAAGATGATTGACTCTACCGTCAACATGACTCGTACATTTGGTCTGAAGCCTTTGCAGAATGGCAGTAGCTTTGGAGGGGAGACTGATTGCTTTACCACTGATTCTCTGTCTGCAGTTGGGGATGCTGAGGGTCAAAGCTTGGGGAGCCCCGCTTTGTCTGAGTCCTCTGGCTCTATCCAGCATTTGTCCCCAGCCCACAGTCATTCTGAGAGCCAACGATCCAAATCCCCTGCTGCACTCAACAATAATAACATCAGCAGTGCCATGACAGCAGAGGAGGTCCAAGACAACAATACAGCTGGCCTGGCAACAGTAAAGTCGGAAAAATCCGAGACGCCATCTCCGCTTCCTGCAACTGAAGGCACTGGGGCCCTTGACCTGACTGCCACTCAGCCAGGCAGGCACTTTATCAAAGAGGAGAGCCACTTCAACGTGCTGTTTCTAAACAGAGATCGAGGTGTGTATGTGCAAAAACACAAATCTAAAGTGAATTCATTATCTGGGCACATTTGGGAGTTCATAATAATGAATTAATAACAACATCTCAATAGCATAATAATTTAAAGATGAAAAATTGTTGACAGTAAGAGAATGAAAAAATAGAAAAGAGTTGTTTATGAATAATAAGGACCTTGACCAAATAACTATAAGATTTCAGCAGGGACTTTTTAGATTTTCAAGTCAAATTCTGACTGTTCAAAAGCTTTTGGTGTTTTACTAATAGAATATAAATCAAATTGTTCTGTTTTTTTACTTTTGTTTGTTCAGGGCTGAGCACTCCCAATTTGGCCAGCACTGCATCAAACATGATTAAAATGGAAATGAACGGCCATGGGAAGTCAATGTCTCTGAGCGACAACCCTCACCTGCCCGTGGGCATTCAGGTTCCAGCTGCAGCGCCCCCAACCACCATGAGCCCTAGCATCAACCCCATGTTGGCTCCCCCGCCTCCACGACGCACTCCTAAGCAGCACAACTGCCAGTCGTGTGGGAAAAATTTTTCCTCAGCCAGTGCTCTGCAAATCCATGAGCGTACACACACTGGGGAGAAACCTTTCGCCTGCTCTATTTGTGGAAGGGCTTTCACCACAAAGGGCAATCTCAAGGTATGACCCAGCTTAAAGTACATTGCATCAGTTGAGTTTTACATAGGTTCAAAGCTCTGTAATATTCACAGATTTTGCCAACAAACAGTTTTTTGCTCTTGAAAAGTACTACATTAATACATTTTATTTGCTTAAAATTATGTATCAATTTAAAAAAAGAAAAAAGAAGCACAAAACAGAGAGCCTTCCAAAAATGTGGCCTTATATGTTTTTACATTTAGTTTTCCTTTCCAGTACATCCCACACAATTTCTATTTCAAGTATTTTCCATTTACAATTACAGAGTCATTATTTTTTTCATTTGTTTGTCATTTTGTCGATAATTTTAGGTTCACATGGGAACGCACATGTGGAACAATGCCCCGGCCCGAAGGGGTCGACGACTGTCTGTGGAGAATCCCATGGCCCTGCTGGGTGGGGACGCCATGAAGTTCAGCGAGATGTTTCAGAAAGATCTTGCTGCTCGGGCCATGAACGTTGACCCGGGCTTTTGGAACCAGTACGCAGCCGCCATCACCAATGGCCTGGCCATGAAGAACAATGAAATCTCTGTGATCCAGAATGGAGGCATCCCCCAGCTGCCCGTCAGCCTTGGTGGCGCAGGAATCACTTCATTGGGAGCAATGCCTGGAGGGATGGACCGCGTTCACACAGGCAGCAGCCCTCCCATGACGGGTATGGAAAAGACTGGTCTGGATGTCACAGCTAACCGCCCCTTCTCCAGATTTATGGAGGAGAACAAAGAAATTGGGATCAATTAAAGAGACTTTTCTGTATAATTCCAGGTAGGCAAAGACTACAAGGCTGTTTATGAGGAAAGAAACTGCTGATCCAGTCTGAACTCATGCGTACTATATTATGTACAGATTAAATATTTTTTGTTTGTTTTTGGAAACATAGTATTTAGTATTGATTAGAGGTTTTTGCCTTTCACCCATTCCCTGCTCACTTGATATTTCGCCTATACGAAGAATACTTTGTCTCTTGTTTGAGAATATGTCGTCTTGCAAGATTTGCATGGTACTTATTGGTTTTTATCAGTACGTTTGACTGCTTTTATGAATTCCTTTGAAAACCAGGATCCTGCCTCAGTTATGATTAGCAAGCATCTTATCTGGACAGGACTAAAACACAAAAAGGACAGAGTTTTAGCTCAAAGTCAGTCTGAACAATGTCTGCCAACCTCGTTTATGGTTGCTATTTTAAATATAAAGGGCCATGGATAGACTGAAGAAAAGACTGAAGTATAACGTTCTGTGTTCGCCTGATTTTTTTTTCATGATCTAGAAAACTTGAAAAAAATAATGTTTGAACTATTTTAATCTTTACATTTAGTCTCCCAGCATTGTCTTATATTATTGTCGTGTGTCTTTAGTATTTATGATATTGACCAAAAAAAGCGGGTATACAAAAATATATTTAATGGCCCAAGCATTTTATTGATCTTTTTTTCTAAACTGCAGGCTTCACTCATGAAAATCTCTTTCAATGAAGACAATATGTCATTTGAGTTGAACAACAGAGAAAAACAGTAGGTTTTATTTGGATATCAGTTGAGACTATGATTATCTCATTACACAGTGAAGAAGCTAGAGATATCCGAAGCTGCTATGACCACAACCCTGCTTTTAACCTTTGTAAAAAAGAAAAAAAAGTGACCCTTTTGAATAAATATCTATGTATAGAAATACAGACAAATCTAAAACAGGTATGCATATTTTGTATCACTTAAAAAAATAGACATCATGAGTTGAGAGTATTTGTCATGTTTGTGAATGCACTTTTTAAAAACAAGACGTTTTGTCTGTGAGTTACCGTTAACCTTTTGACTGAGCTATCTATCACGTGCTGTTTTCATTGTTTTCAGCATACCACTCCTACAATTGGCAGAGTCAGTTCTCTGTTATTGCATCTGTGCTACTCGTCAGAGTACAAACTCATCACTCAATCAACCTTCTTAAATAAAATAAAACGAAAACAGGTGTGTGTGTTGCAGTGGTCTCCTTATCTTTAATACGCTTTCTCCTTCTCTTTGTTTTTTTTTTGTTTTTTAGTCATCCTAATTATTACCATTGAAATTTGGTCTTGCAGTGTGAGCCACCATGTGAGTGTGGAAAACAGCTTTTAAATCCATTGCTATTTAAACATCTGCAAAAACAACAACTTTGCTTTTGAAATTCCACCACACATATAGCAGATATGTTAGTAAGAAATTGCTTATTATCTTATCTGCCAAAACAAACTGGTGCTTTTTGGATGAGCCTAAAATGATTTTCAGCAAAGATATGTTTCCTCTTTTGGGTCATAAAAAATGGGTGGAAACAAGGAATCATTTCCAGATGCTTTATAATGGTCTGGGAAGCGTTTTCTTCAAAGAGGCTCTTCAAGAAAAAAATTCATTCATTAATATTTTGTTTATGTTTTTACTTAGCAATGAGCTTTTCAATTTACAAGAAAAAATATTACTGAATTGTCTGCATATTTTTACTTATTTTACTTATGTGTGTGTATGTGTGTGCTCTTCTGTCCACACACACGCATGCGGCTGCTGGAGATCCACTATTCTGCACGTGCAGAAAAAGGCACATTTATAATTATTTATAAATAAAAAAAGGAAAAAAGATGCAGCAATTTGTAATAATGCACACAATTTTAAAATGATCTCATTGTCTGTAATGCAAAGAGAAGGTTGTTAAAGCTGCAATCCTTGTTTTCCTTTGTCATTTGAAGGTAAACACGCACACGTACACACACACACACGCACACACACACACACACGCACACACACGCACACACAGTTAAGCAAATGTCCTTGTATTTGTATATTTTAGATCATCTCAGTTTGAATTGTTATATCAGAACACTACAAATAATTTGTGACTGCGGGTCAAGACTTTAGCTAAGCACATGCAAAACCCATGATGAACCATAACATAATAACATAACAGAAATAAACAAACCATAACTGTTGTGTAATTTAAATGAAATAATCACGTGTTAATGTGTAAAACAATGTTCACTTTATACCTAAAAGCCTCTTCTCTTCCTGCTGCAGTCTGCCAGGAGACAGTGCTGCATCTGAGAGGGAATCAGCGAACTTATTATGTGTGTGTGTGCGTGCGTGTGTGTTTGTGTGAGAGCCGTAAAACGATGGCAGCCTTCTTGCTGCAGGACATTTGACACATGGTCCACATGTGTGCGAACACACACACACATACGCTTCACACAGCTTCACACTCCCACATAAAAACCCGTGTTCTCACTTTCTCCAACATAAAAAAGACAAGACTGAATTACACCAAATATTCTTAGCGATGGGGGAGAAAAGAAAATATTCCTGCTGTGAACAACATTAAGCCGCATCAGGTGCAAGATGAAAGTTAAGGCTAACTTTAATCACTTGGAACAAAAGACTTTTTTCTTAATGCTTATCTTTGGCAACTTGGCTGGCAGATGTGACTATAACCTTGATCTTGAATTCCTCCCTATATAAAGTAAGATAACCATAGCTTTAAAGGCACTCTCATATCGGTTTGGAGAGCTGGACAATAAATCATTCTCTAAGGGAAAAAAACAAAACAAAAAACAAATGAAGTCACTCAAAATCAGCAAATCTAAAGATGTAACTTTACAATTTGCTGTGTGGACACATTCATTTAGACTAAAAGGCTACATGAAAAGTTTCTACCAAATGAGCAGCAAATACATTTAAGTTACAACCATAGATCTCATAGATATAATTATTATGCCTGGAAACTCAAAACAGTTAATATTTAATAATAGATATGCGGAGAAATGTATTATTTTGGTTCTTTAGCGAAATCAGTAAGGGAGCCAACACGTTATCCAATGCAGCTAAGTGACAACTCATCTGGTGAGCTTTCACCGCTGTGCCATAGGTGTTTATTTTTCTGTTATTTTTTCCTCCTTGACTTTTACACGCATATTACTTTTCACGTTGACGGACGTGAGCCGAGGCTGACCTCGGGGGCTCTCTCTCTCCGTTTCAGTAATGCGTGCTGCCGTTTGCGAGCCCATTGTTTGACATTTCACTGTCAGCTGATCGCACAGGCTTAGTCAGTGGAATTGTGGAGTAATGAAGAAATTTCATACTGACTGTTTCCCTCTGTGAACGCGCTCATTTCGCCCATATTTGAAGGAAAACGAATGACATTCCGCTCGTGCCTGCAATCATGCGCTCGCGTTTTGCAAAGAACCAGAATAGATGCATGTAAAGACGCTTGTTTCAGGCCCTGAACGGGGATTCTTCTTCTCAAGTGTATAGCTCAACAGGCTGCTGCTGCTCACAGTGATGCGCTGTAAAGGAGGGCAGTTAGAGGGTTATATGAGGTTATAAATTACCACACTGTAGGGTTGCTTTCCCACCCCCTCTGAGAATTAGATATTTTGTTGCAGTTCTGTCCTTTTTTTTTCCATTAAGCAATACAATACAATGGAATGCTCAACATGTGAAGTGCAGTTTTATTTTACTGTTAAAAAGAGAACATTTATGAGAAACCAGGGGAATGCAGACAAGGCATTATTTGAGGTGTGTCCATTTAAGAGATTTTTAACAAGTATAATTTTAGAGCGGGTTACAAGGCTAATTATCTAAGTAAACATGACTTGCCTTTCTGTTTCTTTAGTTTGTTTTCTTTTTGTGAAATGTGGCACTTTCCCCTCTTTGTTCAGCACACAGAGCAAATTGCCTGCCCCCTTTTGTTTCATCTACACTTGACTCATGTTTGTGTGCTACCTGTTTGAAGTGAAAATGTGTGACATTTGGGCATGGCACAGTGTGAACAGACAGGCCATCATTGGGACGGGGCTGTCGGCTGTTTGTTTAATGCCCTGCCTACTGTGAAAGTCTCCCTGAAACAGGCGCAGTAAATATCCCCATTGATCCAGAGGCAGGGGGCCCTACGATGATGTAGTGGCGAAGAGCCACAGGAGTAAATCTAGCCGACAGTAATCCAATTCCATTCTCAAGGCTCTGGGATCTGAGATAGGTGCTTTAAATCCAAAAGTGTGCCTTTTTGCACAATTTCTCTGCCTGTGTTGATGCTGTGTCTTTTGTGGGGTTTTTTTAAAACTTCCATATCTCAGCTCGAGAGTCGGTCGGTGGCCTGCTGAGGTGCTTCATCTCCTATCCTTTATATTTGCTTAAATTCCAAGTCCTATAATGATGCCACAAATTTAGCTTTGTGCTCATTTCAGTGTCAAATTCACGCCCACACTTCTCCTGTTTTTGCTCGTCTAAAGCATGTGCATCCACCTGAAGTAAAAACTCCAAAGTTAAGAGAGTGTGAAAGCTGTGTGTGTGTGTGTGTGTGTGTGTGTGTGTGTGTGTGTGTGTGTGTGTGTGTGTGTGTGTGTGTGCGCGCCTGTGTGTGTGTGTGTGTGTGTGTGTGATAGCGCACCTCAGGTAATCAGTGTTTTCTGTGGATGGCAGAGGGACACACTGGAAACTCAGAAACCCCCATTAGGCTGGAATTTCCCTGTGATGGCCAAAAGCTGCCTACCTAGCGCTTGACTGGTTGCTTGGCTGCTCCAGCAAGTGTTAGTTTTCATGCAGGCTCTCAAGATGACAAAGTTACGCAGCCCAGATCCCCTGGAATAGGACTGTGTGGTTACCTCAAATTCTTTCCTGTATGGATTGTTAAGAGCTGATGAAGCATGGTGCACTTTAGCCTGGTGGGCATTAACAGTTTGCTGCAATGAAGAATTGGCTATTTCACCAACATAGATGCTTGTAGTCCTAAATTAACATCAGAATTATTTTTAATGCACTCTACTGACTGTAGTCAGTGGTTATTATACCCTCCATTTAGCACCACCTACCACAGAGTGCAACAGAAAGTTTCAGAAAAGTGAGAAACATCACAATTAATTTCAGTTTTAAAAAAGGACTTTTAATGGGAATTATTGCACTAATAGGTTCGACATTCACGGTCAAGTGTGTTAACAAAACAAAAAAACAAAAAAAAAAAACGGTTTTGTGGATTTTTATGTGGGTGTAATTTTGCAAAACGTCTCCAGAGTGGGCAAACTCGCCTTCACTTTTACATATCCATTTCTTAAAAACTACGTGAGCGGTGAAATGCAGGCTAAAGGATATCCCCCTTGTAATGCTACTGAGGGCTAGCCAAGGTGCGATTATAGTGTGCAGTAAGGTGCCTACAGAAAACAAGGAAAAGAAGTACGAGGAACGGTGGGGGTGTTTTTTGGAAAATCAATGAGTGCGTG